AAAAGCATTATAGCGACGATTTCTGAAACTTGAATCATTCAAGGTTGAGTCCTGAATGTAATCTCTACTCTCTATTCTATTCTCTCTGAATCTCTACAGGAGACTAACTTGGAGTAATTAGGAGGTGAATTTTCCTGGAAGTTATTCCAAAAAATAGATTAACAGCAAAAATACTAATGTCTTTTGCCAAAGCTGCGAGTTTATTGAAGTTAGGAATCCATCAATTTGCATAAGTTTGGATGACAGGGCTACTTCTGAGGAATTGTATTCCTGATCAGAAATTTTTTAAAAATTGGTTTGCTAATTTTATAATACAGATTTATTTTGAGTTCATCTGTCATGCATCGCATGCATCTAAAGAACTATTTGGCTCTGACAGAGAAGAAAGAGCTATCAGCAACAGAATTATTTGGTTTTGGTTTCAAAATAAAGAATTCAAAAGCTTAAAGTCAATGTGCAATGTGTAAATGTTGTCACAAATAGCACAAAGAACTTAAAACGTTACTGCAGACAGAATTCTTTAGTTGTAGATTCAAAATGAAGTATTCAAAAGGTTGAAGACAGCCTTTAGGTGTAACGTGTAATTGTTGTCACAAATTCGACATAGAGGAAAGAGCTGTACTGTCAACGGAATTCTCTAATTTTGCTTTCAAAATAAGGATTTTTAGAAGGATGAGATCAAACTTAAGGTGTAATGAGTACATTTTGGTACTGATGCGACGAAAAGGAAAAAGCTGTACGGTCAACAGAATTATTTAATTTGCTTTTAAGATAAAGTTTTTAAAAGGGTGAGGCCAAACTCGTGGTGTTATGTGCAAATTTTGGTACAAATTGGACAAAGAAGAAAGAGCTGTAATACAAACGCAATTCAAGTTTTGGTTTCAAATTTAAGCTAACCTTAATGAGAAAATTTTGTCACACATTGGACAAAGAAGAAAAGAGCTCTGATATATATATATATATATACAATCAAGATTTATTTATATATATATATATGTATATATAAAATGTAGGTTTCAAAAAGAAAAAGGAAAATTAGTTATATAAGACTTGAAGTTCTCAGACACTCATTATGAATATTTCAGGTGTCGGGAATGTTTTGGGTTCTTCGTGAATATTCTATGGCGTCACGTTTTCGTCTCAAAGAGACGAATGCGCTGGAAATTAATTTTCTCTGTGTATTGTATAAGTAAAAAACAACGTCAAACTTTCTTCAGTGCCAAGTTCATATCGCAATTCTGCTTTATTTGGACACCAAATGATGTTACACTTTATTAATGAAGAATGAATTCAAGCGATGTTTAACGTTAGAAACCAAGAAACAGTAAAAACTGCTGCTCTTAACGATTAACTATTAACACAAGGGATTGTATAATCGCTAGCATTTGCAAAACTGAAAGCGCTTAAAAATGTGCCATAAGATTTTAAAGCATCAAGAGACAGTTAAGTTTTCGATTTTAAAGAAAGACCCACTCAAAAAGAAAAAAAAAAGAAGTTAGTGTAGGTCTTGACGAGATGTGAGCGCCACTAAGCAAACACGATTTATTTGATGACTTGAAAGTAAACGATAAAGGAAGTTAATGTGGTTTGAAGCCTTCCAAGCACCCGGTTGATAATATCTAGTACATCTACGAGTACTTTTTCCATCAACTTACCCCATACGACATGTTCTTCTCTCAACGATAAGTCTCTCTCCATCGCAGTTCTCGCTTGAGTGAAATGATGTTTATCCTGTATTGCTCTTAAAATTACATCACAATCAATAATTAAAGCAAGTCACAATGGTTTTCAATACTATCCTCCACGCAGGATCTCAACCTACGTCACTAAGACAAGGAGCAGACTAAATTAATTTACCTCTTATGTTTCGATGGAAATGTCACATACAGGATGTGATGTTTAGTCTTCTTTTCGCCACTGACAAAAAAACATTGCTTCCTAAACAATGTTATTGATAAAATACGTTAGAAATGAAGATTGTGAAAAAATGTTTGTACATAGAGAGCTCTTGTGTAGTTAAGACTCTTAAAAAATTAACAGGGGGCAAAACTATTTAAAATTAAAAATATAAAAAAAAAGCTTAACTTTACACTTTCACGTTTTTGTACAAAAATAAATTTCACTCAACTGATTCGTGCGTTTTATGAATTATCATGTGAAAATGTTCATGTGAAATTTATGACCCGCCTAAACATAATTATGCAGAGAACGATCTAATGAACTATCTTATTGACTACACGGATAATGTACTTGACGCCCACCCACAAACCGTCATTGTTCTGGGCGGAGATTTCAATCAGTTGGACATGGATGGATTACAACAATTGTCTGGCTGGTATGCACTGGTTGATTTCCCGACGCCTGACGATTCACACTTGGATAACTGTTTAACGCACCGGCCCGATTTGTTTGCAAGGTGTTATCCTCTTTACGTGTCAACAAAATCGGATCATCGAGGTGTGATTTTGCCAGCAAGATCTAAACTTTGCCCTGTGTGTCGTAAAGTTCACACCCGGGACAGACATCTACATAGGAAACAGGATTTGTTCATGGCTTAGGTTGAAGAGGACTGGCCAGAGGTACTTGATACCAAGAATGTAAAAGAGGCGGTGAACAAAGTGGAGGTAACCATACGGGGTCACTTGGATAGGTGTATGCCAGTAAGGGTAGTCACTATGTCATCACTGACCCTGCCTGGATGACCCCTTTTGTTATAGCCATGTTGAGGTCGAAATCGAGGGTGTCCGATGAAGCTCGGCTGAAAGAGTTGAATAAGAGGATTTTGGATGTGATCAGTGAGAACAGAAAGCGACATAGACAGGGTGTGATCGGCTCGAGGCAATAGTGGAAAGGCGTTCATCTGGTATCGCAGCGAAGGAATGCAGCCCTTGTTACCTTAGATCGTGAGTCACTTAACCAGTTAAACGAGTACTTCGGCAAAATCTATGCAGTGACAATAACTACATTCAACCAGTTGATGTTCACATTGATCCAGATGTCAAGGCTCCAACAATCCCTGCGGGACTTGTCTGGAGCACTCTGTCTAATCTGAAGAAAACGGCAACCGGCCCGGACGAAATTCCTTTTTGGTTTTTTAAAAGAACACGCGGAACTACTAACTTCAGTTATCTCTTATGTGTGGAATCTTTCCCTGTCAACTCATTCCTGGCCTGAATCTTGGAAAAGAGCGAACATCAGGCCATTACATAAGGTTGACGTACCTAAGGAGAATGGTGATTTCCTGGGAATCAATGTAACACTGGTGATTGCTAGAGCTCTTGAAAGGGCTGTATACAACAAACATGTCAGACTCATCATGGAGGATCACCTGAGCAGAGGCCAATTCGCGTACAAAGTTGCGTATGAAAGCGATCTAAACACAGTGCAGAACTTTTTAAACATGTTACAAGTGGCGTTATATTTCAGTTCCATTGAATGTCAAGGATATCACGCATATGCAGGATAAGAAATTAGTGGAGCTAAGGCCCTAAGCCATCATTCGTTAAATAAAACTCTGCCGAAGCCTAAACCCCAGCAATATAATTTACGCGCAAGGTTTGCCTCCGCCCAAAGATTAACACAGAACGTTTCATGAACACATTTGTGAATAGACTAATTTTTGAACACAACCTGTTAAAATTACATTATTTAATTTTGGCCATAGTATATTATTGTAGCTATCATTACACAGTTTCTTGCTTATGTAACATAGGATATTTATCTTTTATCTCATGGTTTACTAAAGACTTCCAAGACTTCAAAGAAATGGCCTCTTAGGAAATTGTGCAACAGCGTGCGTTTTTGATCTTCTTAATAAAGTAAGTACTTTTGTTGCAACTAAGATGCAACCTCTGAAAATGTTAGCATAATATACACGTTAAACAAGGGAGATCACAGTCAAGTGTAACTTTCAATCCTAGATCAGTGTTAATCGCTTTCTGAACAACTATGTCCTCCGGGTTTTTGTATATCCCATGTTTTCTTTTTCCTTAGTTTTCACTCCATTTCAAAGAGCTGAATTGTCTCTTACGCTTAAAAATATTTTTTCCAACTCCTTCAGGTGGGATCGCCAATTATTCAGTATAATTTAGGTTCATGACAGCGAGTGATAGCGCCGGCAGATGATTAAAATTGATGAGCAGCGGGTTGTTTTGCAAAAAATAGAGAAGTTGTTAGCCTTGATGATGATTATTGTCAATGCAGTAAGACAAACTTACACGTTCTGTCTCTCGTCCACACTTGACTGCCGGCCATCTTTGAGACTTTCTTAACAGATTAATATCAATCATTAAAGCGAGTCAAAATAGATTTATTTTCAAGGGCATAAAACATAATAGAACATGACTAGAACCATTCATTGGTCCAAACCTACCATGTTTATGTTTCTAACCCGTTCTAATCACTGAAAACTGAGAATTGTGTCTATTTACCAACATATTTTCGTTGATCCTTTTTTGAAACGACCAGGGAAGACATTTTTACGAAAGAATCGTAAGAAATCACCGGCTTGGGTGAACAAATTTTAAAGCAAATACAAAATATGTTATTTGAGCTGACAAGGGCATTCTCATGTTTACGTAAGATTAACATACAACAAAAAATATGCAAAGTACACGCGACTTCTATCTTATGCACACATTCGGATCGGGTCAAGGGGCCTGTTCCGCGAAAGTTCCGTTAACTTAACGGACCCGAGACAATATCTTAAAATCAGAATTTTAAGATTGGTGCAGCATGTTCTGGCACTCTAACCAGTCCATTTTGTTTCTTTGCCTAATATGTTTAATGTATAACTTTCACAACCTACATCTTGAATAAACACAGAACAGCTCTAAAGGCCCGTTAGGTTACCGAAACCTCCGAGAAACGGCCCGTAAACTACGCAGGAAATGGTCGAAAACCTTTTAATATTTCCACAGTTAGGCCATGTCTGGCCTCTTTAAAGCATCCACCAACACTTTTACCATTCCGTTATGCAAGACTAAGGAGGGTTCATGCAGAAAAATTGCCCTGTTGTTGATTTTCTCATTTACTGCACGAACACTTCGATCCTCATACAAGGGTACTGAGAAAAGGTGACCGGATAAAATCGAATGTATCTTGCTTGGACTGGGTTATTCAGTGTGTGTTTTATAATGGTGTTCAAGTCTGAATTCGCTTCAAAGATCTGCAATGAAAAAAAAAAAAAAAAAAAAAAAGGAGAAACCACTTAATCATAAGGGGGAACTGTATTCTCAGTTAAGCTACTTCAAAGAGATTCCCCCCTTCCCTGATACAGTTTGTTTTCTAAATCTGTATTAAGATCTCATTGAATCCCTTAGCTGATGTCACTGGACGAAAAACCAAAATTTTGGTTACGTAAGTGTTGCCGAGACCTTTGTTTCCATTGCGGAAACGTAACGGCTAACAAGTGTTTCCATAGACAGACATATTTCAGTCGCTGTGGACACAGCAGAACCGGACCACCTTTCCACATGTTTTTGATGGAGAAGAGGACAAGATCTGTTATCACTTTGAGAAAACGGAAAAACTCAAAATTTTAGAGAAAACCGAGATTACCCTTTATCCTGAAGGTTATTTATTATTCTTACATCAATTTTAACTATTCCCAACCGGTAAATCCTCCCTCAGCCTGCGCATGCACACAGAAAATACCTGACCGTCACGTTTCATACCTTTTCGACGTTTTGCTCTTTATATGCAGTCCAACTGGTACCATCAGTAGAAAAGGAGAGCCTGTAGCTTTTTATAAACGATCCGTTTGCCTTTCCTTGCGTGGCGACTCCGCATACTGTGCGTCCTGCTCCAATATCAACCTGTATATAGTCATCGGTGATTCTAGAAGACTGCTGACACCAACCGCTGTCTCCATTGAGCCGTCCTTTGTGTGGATAATAGCTGAGATAATTGGAACTCGCAGTGATTTGGACGTCAGGTATGATGTTTGGATCTTCTACTCCTAAAGCCTCGCAAGATAGTACAGCTGCAAGAAATGTAAATTCGTAACCATTTTGATATTATCTCAATACGTGCGTTGCACTGGTTATCAGATCTTTAACAGATTCTTCGTACGCCACGGTATTTTCTTTTGCGGTTTCCTAATAATTGCTACTTTAAGTGTAACATCGGTTTTTCAAACAAATGCAGATACCTCTCACCTCTGATAGTGGTCCGCACACCAAGCTACGGACTTCGTTTTTCTGCTCGTATTTATGGTCCAAGCACGAAGAGGGTCATAAATCCGAGCAGGAAAAACAAGGTTCCGTACTACACCACTGACCGAGATATTTACCATGAGACAACGCGATAAATAGAGAATTATACATATCTACAAGCAACCATGTCTTACTTTGTTTATCATGTAAACACGATGGCCCTTAAGTGTCAAGAAAAGTCAACTTAATTAATGAATTAAAATAAAAGGATCGACAATCCCCAAGTAAAAGTAGTAAACTGCGTTAGGGTCAAGGCTACAAATGAAAAAAATACGTTCAAACATTCCAAAACATAGAAAATCCTCATTGATTGACTTGGTTGTTACCGACAGAAGAAATCTTTCAAGTTCACGGCCAAAATCGGTCTGTGGCAAATTTATCGGTGGTCGGTTTTCGTTCTCAGCCGTGAGAAATACCAAAAGCCACTTAATACATAACTTTTTTCAATTAATCACTGTATCTAGGAAAGTTTGAAAGTTACTCTCTGTAAGCGATACGGATTTTTCAGTGTTTTAGCAGCCATAATCCAAAACAAAAAGAATTCTGACAAACTACCTTGGATTGAGAATGGTGAAGGCTTTAGCCCTCGTTCATTCAACCTGACCGAGTCGCGCGAAGGGCGAGTAACGTGTCAGCAGCCGATTGGCGATATCAAACACACGTGAAAAAATACGACATCTTTTCACGTGTGTTTTTACAACTTCTCCTGGGGCTGAAAATCCTTCTATAACACCGTAGTTTATGTGATAAGTAAGATAATTCCTATAACTTTGGGCCCAAATAGAGGGGGAAAATTTCAATTAAAAAAAACTTGTTCAAGTTAAGGGTATCTACTGTGATTTACGGCCTGCTAAGTTTATCGACCAAGGCGTACGTACCAACCAAATTCACTTACTAACTGAGATTCATTGTCTTCCTTGCTCTTTTGTCTTTACGTTCTCTATTTTGTTTTACGTAAACTGTCTTGTGCACCAAGGACGAGTCCTATTTTGTCTTTAATACTCAACACAAAGTGTTGATAACTGGGCACGCTGGCCAGCCAAGCCACTATACCGTTTATTCACCACCAATATGCCTACCAGAGTTTATTACATTTACTTTTGAAGGAAATTAAATGCACCAAAAGGACACGAAAACCAGTGAAAACTAAAGAGATTTGGGGAGTTTAAGGGTTAACACGGCGAAAGCTGAACGTAAAATACCTCGCCCTACTACCGACCTCAAATTACAAACTACGATCCTATAGCCTTCCTCGGACCTCGCACCCGCCTCCAATCCTTTAATACGTGCCGGAAAAATATTAATTTTTTCAAATCACGTCTACTACAAATTACATTTTGAGTCAAGTTTTGCATGGTGCTGTACGGTGTATGATCAGCTTTAATGCCCTTTCGGCTAAATTCGTCCAGGCCTGGAATCCACATTTATATCAATATAAAATTTTAAAGAATAAACTGACTGTACACCCTCTTACCAGTGCAAGTTCTCCCATCTGCAATAACTCCAGGTTTACAAGCACAAATATACGAGTCAGGGGTATTCTGGCAAATGGCATTCGTGTCACAGACAGGTAACGAGGCCTTGCATTCATCAGCATCTAACAAAAATGATTGTATATACTGTACAAATTAGAAATTAATTGACAATGGGCCCTGTGAATGTTTACGTAAAAATACCCACTCATACCTTCAAACCTCGCTTTCACGGTCTACACTCAAGATTCTGAATGCGACACTACTGAAATCAAAGGTTTTCCACATGAAAACAACCAGATGGAGTTAAAGTTCCCGACAAATATAATGCCAAGTAGGCTTGGACCGATATTTTTCAGTAAATAACATCATCGTGCATAATAGCTATTCTATGATATTCAGCATATTATATGATGAAATATCAAATACTTCCAGGAAATAGATAAATAAATAAATAAATAAATAAATAGGCGGATAAATAATTCGTGAAATGAGCGAAAGAGAAAGTGACTAATTTGTAATTTAGGGTAATAAGTAAATTCAAGGGGAAACAAGGAATGAAAGATTGTGAATGATATTTTTCTCATTTGTTGTGGTTGTGAAAGGAACCAAACATTGTAGGATATTATAACTCGGCGTGGATCTTCTTTACCAAAACGATTAGTGCTTGATCAAGATTTTTTTACACTGATGTCAACAAATACTAGTAATTGAGTTTTGTTACCCGCTGTTTCCATATCGCAAGGAACAAGTACTGTCTTCCCCTCTATAATGGAATCAAGCCAGTAATTGCCACTGTTCGCTTTCCCCTCTTCGCTTGCTTTTATCTCTCGACATGTTTCTGCTGGAAATTCAGGAATGGAGCCAAGAGGAACTAAGGACGGAGAATAGTTTTATCAGGTTCAAATTACTTCAATAACCGCCAGTGCTAGGGCTGCTTCTTGTTGAAACTCACCTCTTTTCTTATTACTCCTGACATAAAATCTTTCAGAATTTGGCACAAAGTTCTCTGGTCTGGCCTCCTTAGTCCGGTTGTTTAGTTCACATAGCTCCTCTGAAATGACGTAGTTGAAGCTGTGACATCTGAAATCATTGTAACATGCTTGATGGCATTCAAATGCAATCAATGATCTCACTTTCCTGAAGGTGTGTCCTCGAAGCATCATACCAGAAATGGCATGCTCACCCTCCTTGCATTGTTGAGCGAAAACCTCGTACACGTAGCACAGTACAATAACAATGCAGAATCGCATCGACATTAGCTTTGGCTCGTCCTTTTCTGTAAGAGAAGTTTCATAGACTGACATTTGGGTGATTTGGGTGGGAGAACAAGCTATAATGCGAAAGGTTTTCAATCATGGTTGAAAATGCACCAGAAATTTAAGAGAAAAGGAAGAAAAATATAACAATCAAAGTGGGAATAGATATTGACACTTGAGATGCTGTTTGGACGACAGTTTTGTTCGTTGTAAAACCTGGTAACTTAAAGAACTTACTTGTTTATCGTACGATCCATGCTCTTAGCGTTTTTGAAATATTCATTATAACTTTTGAAGTGCAATATTTCTTTCCTTTAAAAAGTATTTCTGCACGCCATAGGAGAGCGACTATCTGGAAACTTTGATTTAAGTGACGGTTTTTTTTACGATTAACAGGTCAAGTTTTACGCCTTTTTTACGATTAACAGTTAAAATTTGTCAAGTTTTACGCCTAACGGTTTAATTGTATGGCCGCTGATACAATTTTGGGACTTTTTCACGATCATAAACAAAAAAAATTTAAATATGGCAACTTAGAAAATCATATAAGTTCTGCAAGCAATTTTAGTGTTTAAATGCTTCAGAACTCTATTTACATATTTTTTGTCTCTTGTAAAGGAGTTGTGTAAAGCTCATTAATCATTAAGCAGCAATCACAGTCTTCAAACACCTTCATGTCTATTCACGCTCAACCAAAAAGCAGCCGTTAGATTAGTGAAATGATTAAGAAGACTTGACTTGATAAACTTAGAGTTTTCGCAGTTCTAAGTCAAAAGTGATTTATAGAAATAAGTTATAGCGAAGGAAATACAAGACATGTTCATTAGCGCTTCTAATGGGTGATATTATCGTCCCAAATTAAACCCTTGTGATAACTGACTCAAATATCGATGGCTACGGCTTATTTTGATGTTGGGACAACATGCCGCTTATCAAGCTGTAAGTGAAACAGTGTCAGTCTGTGGTCGCCGGGAAACAAGAACTAAATCAAAGTTGGAGCCGTGAACTATTTAAATTTGTCTTTTCCATCTTACTGAAAAGTTTCTCGTTTGAGAAGAACGAAGATATCGAAAAATAACAGACTTGAGACACCTTTGTCTTTTGCAAGAATTACAATGTACAGTTTCATTTATATGACATCTCTTCGAAAAAAAATTTATATGTACAAAATAAAGTCTGCATCTCAGGGTAAATCGTTAATTTTTAATCCCGAAAGTCGCCGTTATCTTCCTCTGAAGAGTCAGTAGGATCAGTAGTTTGGATTGAAAAAAAGTCGGTTTAAGGTTACTTCCCACCTTCGCGGGTGTCCTTCCGACTTCCGACGAAAAAATTCGTACCCGCGCTAGTTTCACTAAATCCAGCAAACTACAAATCAGAAGAAAGCCTAATTACTGCAGTGTGGAAGGAAGTGTTAGGAGCCGGTAAGGTGTTAAGCGACTGAGGGTTCTTCTGTTGAATTTATCAGTTATCGGATACGGCAACAAAAGCTAATATATTCTATAAATTCGTTCAAAGTGGTAGTATTCCCGCCAAATTAAATGCGAGATTTTAGCTCATAAATGTTCGTAAACAATTGGCGCCACGCCTGGGAATTATCTCGCCTCCTGAAACCGCAAACTAATGGAACAACGGAAGAACGGAACCTCCACCTTTCCTTTCCGTAATGGTACTCAAAGTCACGACTATATATGAAGGAAACTCGAAATTCTTTCAACTGATATATATATATATATATATATATATATATATATATATAGTGGGAATAATAGACATTGGAACAGAGCTAGAAAAAATATAATGAAATAAATAAAATATTTAGCTGTACTGTCTTAAATATTCAAAAGGCGTGAATTTGAACTTTGCATATCTTGTATATTGGTATAATTATTATATTGGTATAATTATTATATTGGTATAATCTAACCGACAGAAAAACGCTACAATCCTACAAACTCAACTACTTCATTAAATAACGAGTGGTATTCGACTCCTAAAGGCAGTACAGTACTTATGCTTGATAAACTGACTTCAGCCCATCTCATATCTTAACACACCTCTGAGCGAAACTCACAGTTTTCTTCAACGTTTCTTTTCGGTAGCGATCTTCCAATGCAGCTTTCTCACACGGTATAGTTTTCTTAACAGTCGGCCACTCCCGAAAACAACAACTACAAAACTGAGAAGCTTACAAAAGAATTAGTAGAATTACGTATACTAATAACTGCGTGACTTGATTAAATATTCTAGAAAGTTCTGCGGTACGCATGTCAGCATGACTGAGTAGTCTGGAGACTTCTAGAAGCCTATATTTATAACAATCAACTACTTACAACACTGCTCAGTTCAGATTTTAACTTGTGCTAGATTTCAATGGGAAACACAACCTCTTGTTTAATTATTCAATTAACTTTACGTTTTAGAATTATCTTCAATTTCATTTTAAGGCTGCGCCATTGTCGAGGTTTTGAGCACACAGAAAACGGTTAGCATCACAAAATAGGAGGAATTGTGGGAAAAAGAATGGTTAATCAGCAAGTCGTAAGCAGATTCTTTAGCCAGTTTCTGTAGGCGATATAAATCCATATTCTGTTGATCAATGTAGGAAAATAAAGCTTTAAGAGCCCCTTCTCAACATACTTTATTTACAGAATCCCTGTGACTCTGAAGAATATTTACAGCTTGCAAGTTAAGTTCACTCCTTTACAATACTTTACAAAGCACAGCGGGTCAGTAATAGGTTGGAATCTTTGATAATGACATCTATAAAACAGTATTGCTTGCCTAAATAACGACGCTGCTTAATTATTCATTTCATCTGAGTGATTAAGAGGCAGTCTCTCTAAAAGCGGTCCGGTGCGTTTCGGGTCGAAAAATCTATTTCTTTCAAACTTTGCCCAAAAATTTACCTTAGTCTAAAAGTAATCGAAACCACCTTGGTTTTTTTCAAATATAGCAAAAAAAATTTTTTTGGAGCGAAAATCACTTCAGCGCTCAAACGCTAGTTTTTACCAACACCGAATATCAAACATGGAACAAATTGCCGAGCTCGTCTTTTCAAAAAATTCTGGTTCGAGGGTTTTGTTTTGCCTCGCATATTTAGATCAACCCTTTATGAGAACAAAGCACATAAATTTTGTTTTTTTTAACGGTTTTTTTTACTTCAAATTTGTTTTTTGTTTGACACCTACTTTGACACTACCGCCCTAACTGGAAATATGCAACATTTTTCTCGACTCAGTGCAAAATTCCAACTTTTTTCTTTTTTCGATAAAAACTAGATTATAATTTCCCTTTAGATATAAAGAACGGTAAAGAACTTTTTTATATTTATCCATGTACGTGAATTTTGTGTCACGCGATGAAACCTTGCAAAATTCAATTACGCAGTTTGTTTGCACTAATTTCACTAACATGTAGTTGCGTAAATTTAGAAAAACAACTGAACCCGCTACTTTCAAAATTGTCTGTCATGTTAAAGTAGTCACTATTACAAATCTGTTAAAAGACATCGTTTAAACTCGGATAGATATTCAATTTTTCAAATTTTTTTGAGAAGCCGCCATGCTTTTAATCATGCTTTTCGAAATATAGAGGAAATTATGGTAGCTAAAGAGGTATTACACAGTTCGTGAGCCTTACAATGAGTCAATTGTAAAACATCTAAGTTCTTGTCATTTATCTCGCGAAACGCTGACTGAGTATGAACTCTTTTTTAGCAAGAGAGGGTATTTTTGAATTACCAGTTTCAAAGCTTAGCGAAACGATTATATGCCCAAGACATCGAAAAAAGTTGGGGAAGTTCTGAATTTAGCGAAGGCCTTGTCAATACCCCACCCACCAAGGCGGTAGGAAAGCTATAAAAAATGGGTATGTAGTTAATCTCAAAATGGCGAAAGAAATCCTGAAATTCATGGCATGGTTGTCCCGACTGGATCATGTGAGTCAGTTACGAAGCCCTCCTTGTTGTACTTGTTGGGGAACTAGATTTATATTGATGTTGTCCCTTTGAAAATAGTGTTAGACATTATCAGTTAGCCTCAGTAAGATTTCTCAAACTATATTAAGACGTATTAACTGCACGTGTGATGATTACTAACTGGACACACCACACCTCATCGATTCTGTGGTCAGCAAATTCGATTGTGAATTGATCGCAGCAGAAGAAAGACTGAAAAAGTACTCAGTTTTACAACAGGACTCAGTGATGACATTCGCCTGAGGCAGCCTCGTTCTCGGTGTTTCGCCGGTCATGCCCTTGGGGCGAGGAAAGAAGGATGAAAATAAATGTTAGGAATAAGCTTGCCCAGGATATCTTGAGAACGTTCTGATAGTGTGGCCTAAAACTGTTCATGATTGCTGAGGGAAATTTCAGAGAAAGCTTCAATTAGTATATTTCTTCATCCAGTAATTTGCAGTAATTGTTGGAAGAGACATAACGCTACCATTGAAGAGTCGGCTTGGGCTCCAGATCTAGAGAATAAGGCAAGCAGCGTCTCAAGCACTTCACCACACCTACACAAGAGGTAAAATATGGGATATGGCATGGTACAATTGAGCTCGGAGAGCATTAAATTGAAAACTTATAAACGAAACGTAGTCGGACATAGACAGATGCAGCCAGAGGGAGATCAGAGAAATGAGGGAAGAATGACTGTAAAATTGGAATAAATGGAGCGGTATAGCCAGAGAAAGAGGGGAACATATATTTGAGGGGGGGGGGGTAGAGTGTTTGGAAACAAATTGCTGTAGGAGGGAAAGTAATGACGGTGACTTCTCGTGATTAACCTTGTCTATCACGTTCTTTTTACAGGGCTCCTAAAGGGGTTGCCGCGGCAGCTCTTTATGCCCACGAGGAAGTGCCGTCAACACCAGGAATCGACGTTAGCCGTGTTCAAGAAGACACACTGTGGACTCCTCGGTTATGTTCCACTGATGAATTAGAAGTAGTGGACAAGAAGAGGAATCAAACCAGAGGGTTAACAGCAATTGCATTACAGTCAGGTTTTTCAAGCTCTCCAGGGAGAAAAAGCGAACGACACGAATGCTGA